AAGTGACTAGGTTTGCCTCGCCTCCGGCAAATCCCCAGAGGACTGTTCTATCCGGGCGTGAGTCAGAACAGCACAACAGCTGAGAGCATGGCCACCCACACGGCACCTGTGTGTCCCAGGCTTGTTCTTAACCCGCCTGGAACTCAGTCTGCATCAGTAACATGAGGACTTTTGATCGCAATTTCTAATAATAGTAGCAGCTCCCTCCAAAGGTTGTGAGAAATTAATTGATGCATGTAAATAACAACTTGTATTTTGTAGGCAGTGCTACTGGCTCCCTATTACGAGGTTACTTAACCTAAATACTATTTCACAAGAGACCTTGGAGATCACATAATTCTTAGCTGATATTTACAGAGTGCCGGGAAAAGTCCTGAGACAAAGACTGTCTATGGTCATACACATGAGATTGAGATTTCTAAATCTAGTTCACTCTGACGTTCATAGTAAAGATGTTGCACTTCAAAATAATAATACTATAATATATTGAGCAGTTACTGTTGCCTTCTTCCATATCTTCTATGTTTTATTACTTACATTCCTTTCCACCCAAACGAAATACAAACTCTTTCACCCTATTGACCAACGTACTGTACTCAATATATCATCAAGTATAAGGAATCTATAATGTGTATGGTTAAATAATTTAATACCTGATCAACTTGGAGCATTTGGGCCACCTGCAGTTAATTATAGATTAGTTAATAAATGTAATGGCGTGCAGTCTCAACGTGAACAGCAAAAGATTCTCATTCTACAGTATTACAGGTAGACCTGCTTTCAAAAGCTCACTTTACACCACTTCACTTTTACAGAGACCTACATTAGTTCCTGTTTTCACTAAAAGAAATCTGAAAATGATTCTGCTTTTATGATAAAAGGTGAGAAGCAAAAGTAGCTTAGAGTGTTTGTGGTGCAGGGTGCGCCCTGAGCAGGGAAAGTAGCCCCGCCAAGCTCCTTCCCCAGGAACTGCGCTCAGCATCTCAGCATTAAGCCCTCGAGGCTGTGCACTGTCTGTGAGCATCTGTGCTTTGTCTTCATTTATTTTGTGCATCGTTACCAAGATGTGTCCTAAGGCAATCGCTTCTTTGCTTTACACCATTTCAGTTGACGAAAGGTTTCATAGGCACTCTCTATTTTGGAGAGCAGGGGAAACCGTGCATGCTTAAATAAGATGCTTATCGTTGTAAGTAAAAGCATAAAACATTCTATTTCTTCAGTTACGCATGATCCTCTGATCCCAATCAAATTTAAAAAGGCAAAATCCTGAGGTCTATGGTACCCTGAGCTTCTGTCCCTAGAGGATGGGTATATGCAATAAACTTGTTCTGTGATGTTTGCTATTTTAGAGATTGGTGTCATCACAGGATTAGAGCTGTGTTCTTAAATGCTTCTACCACACTTGACTCTGGAGATAAATCCATTCCATAAATATTTACGGAATGCCTTCAATACACCAGGCACTGTTCTAGGTCCTGGAAATACTGCAGTAAACAAAACAGCAAAACCCTTGCCATCTTAAATTGTACCTAGTGGAACGGAAAGAGATACAGTAAATAAATGTGTTAACATGGGACTCTGGCTCAGTTTCAGGTGAGGGACCAAGGCTGAGGGTTGGAAAACACTCCCTCATACTCCAATGAATACCATGGCAAAGGGCATTGTTTCAACCCGTGGTTCCCTGTCCCACGGAGGATATGAAAGAGAGTATTAGAGACGCTGAAGGAGATGGATATTGACAAGAGAATGCAAGAGACCACCCTGGGAGCTCAGGGGACATGCTACACTGAAAGCCACTCTGGCTCGAGAAATCCAAAGGTGAGGCTCTTGCTGAGGGAAACAGCTGCACACTGACCCATGGCTGATTGAATGTGCTTATTCCCCATGCTGTGAGTGTACGCCTGTGTGTGTGTGTGTGTGTGTGTGTGTGTGTGTGAGAGAGAGAGAGAGACAGAGAGACAGAGACAAACACAGCGAGAAGAGAGAAAGAGAGAGAATAACATTCTAGAGCCAACTTAAAGTCACTTTGCCTAAGAAAGACTATGGGAAAGGTCAGCATTAGAGCCAGGAGATCAAGGCGAGTCATAGCCAGTGGGTGGAGAGCCTACACAGGCAGCCAACTTGGATGCTGGGAAGGGACTCCACCGCTGGGTGCTGGAATATGCTTAGTAATTCCTGAAAGCTCCTCCAACTCTCAAATTCAGCAATTCAGAAGACACCCGCAAGTAAGTTAAGTGTATTGAACCCCCAAACAATTGTCCTCACTCAAATTCCTTTTTTAAACTTAGTAACATGTCTATGTATAACTAACATCTCCTGATCTTCCTCCATCTCCCACAAGGTTGTTTCCAGCCTGACAGCAAATCTGTGTCTAGTCACAGGTGTGGGGAAAGCCTCAGGCACACTCAGATGATCTATGTCCTGATGGGGGTCCTGTGGACACCCCTGTGGACACCCCTGTGCACATCCCTAAACAACCACAGTGCAGAGATGGCTTTCACACCCAGGCCACTTCAAGAACTACAACAAAGACCACCCTCTCAGCCAGGACACTGAACTCCCCACCTGCTGGGGACCCTGTGGATATACTTTTGGGGAAAAATACTTTTAGGAAGAGAATTCCAACAGATCAAATGGAGACCAGAGGATCACAGAGTAAACTTTCAGGTCCGTGCACCACGCATGGGGTTCAGGGGGAGTCTGTGTCATGGACATAGTCCTGTGGACATGCACAGAGGCCTGAGCAGCTGGGGGGTCGGAGGGAATCTGAATTTGCTTGCTGTTGCCAGGCAGAGACTGTCTGTGAGCAGGTGGTGCAGAGGTTACTAACAGTTCTTTTCAGGTTGCCAATGCACTTCCCATTGATTCGTGGGAAATGTGTGGGAACATGAATTGGATAGTTCAAGTCCCTGCGGAGCCGCATTGCAGTCACTCCCCGGGCCTGGCATGGTATGGTCCACTCCACATAGGCATTAATGGTGTTCTTGACCACACGCTGCCAGAAACGCCCAACATGGGATATTTCAAAACACAGGGCTTGTGCTTCCCAGGTGATCAGAAATAAATGGGGGGACATCCTTTCCTGGAGTCCCTCTGCATTTCCATAAACAAACAAATCAATGAGGCTATGTTGAATATTATTCATGCTTCTTATTAAAATGCAGGAAAGAAGAAAATAAATAATCACAACACTGCATCCAGATAGTGACCTGTGGAAAAGATGCCTGTGGGTTTGTTTTCCTTTTGAGCTCAGTTCTTCCTTGGTCTCCTATTAGGAGCAGCACCAGCAGACGTCTGTGTACTTATTACACTTTGCTTGTGCACTAACCGCATGACATCTTGTTAATTTGGGATATTGCTTTACACAGGAGTTGCTTTTTTTGCATTTGATCTTACATTTCAAGTATGAGCTTCCTGACAGGGCCAGTCCCTGATGCACGTGGGCATAAAGGATGGGACCACTGTCATGCAGCCGTGACACAGTTGCAATGCCACCCCTACCGAGACTGAGGCAAGAGCAGGGCTGGTTATTTGGGAAGAAGGCAAAGCAGTCATTGTCACATAATGATGAAGGGGGAAATCTCAGTTACCTGATTTCCAGATGAAACGATAAGGGGACAGACACCTTGCTATAAAAGCAATAGGTGCTTTATTGGACTATACACAGGTACTCCTTTCTAAAGCGGTTTATTCTGAATGTGTCTGAAGCCTTCTTTCTTTGAAACATGAGCTCCAGGCCATGAACTAGGAGTAGCCTGTGTATTTCATCTTGGTTCTGAGGCCAGAAGCTATTCTGTTTAAAGGTCTTTGTTTATACTGACCTCTAGGAAAGAGGCTAAGGTGGGTGTGGTCACATAAACAATGTATTTTTGGTTTGAATGAGGATTTGTATAAACTCACATTTCTGGACCCCTTCTTAACTTTGTGTATTAAGGATTTAAGTGACTTAGAAGACTATTATTTAAATTCTTCCTGTGGCAGGAAAATCAACACAGCATCTGCAGTCATAACGATTAGGATGAATGGTCATAATATGCACTGTAAATGTAATAGTTAAGGGGAGGAATGGAAAAGATAGTCATTATTTGCTGCTCTGGACCCCCAGCCCTTACTTTTTTCCTGAAGAGGCACCACTATGAATTGGCAGCCTTAACCATGGCCTTTTCCAACTACAAGAGGTTGGGCCAAACAGATTCCTTTTCCTCTCATGTAAACATACAGCCATCATACTCACCTAAGGCATTTGGCACAACCCTTATATAATGGTATTGTTTTGAAAAGCAATTTATAAATTAACTCAGTGTGGTTTAATTTTAATATTTGTGGACGAACTTCAAATATATAAATTGATAAACCAGATCATGCTTCCTAATCAGAGCCTCAGGAGAAATGTCATTGTTCTTTTCTATAACTTCAGGTTCTTGTAGAGCAATGGGAAACAAATCTAAAGTTGTGTAGCAAAATGCTTGAGAAACTATTCCTCAAATGCAAATCACTTACTCACAGTGCTGGATAGAGGCATATGTAAGAGATCTCAACTGATGTGTGAACAAGTCATGACGAGGACTCGGTTTCTGATCCTCCTCCTGTTGGCAGCTTAGAAATGTAAGGTACCTCGCTGCCCCTTTTCTACTTGCCACCACATCCTCTCCAGCAGTCCAATATGCAAAGCATGTGCCAATTTTGTCACACCATCTGCCTTATTTCATTGACAATGCATTGAGTTCATCTTAACTAGCCAAAACATTCCAGATGTACTGCAAGCCTACTAAGAGAGAGTTAATATGGAACTTGCATGGGGATATTAGTGGTGTACATAAGTGACATGTATCAACATGTTCCGCACCGCTCTGCTTGGTGCAGCTGTTCACATGTGTGATACCCAGTCTCCACTGGACCAGCTTGCTGCACAGACAGCGTCTATCCCATCAGATAAAGACAGCCCAGCAGAGTCAGCAAATGCATTCAGAATGTGACACAGAACAGTAACTGTCTCTTACCTTGCATTGTCGCTCTTGTTGGTTCTGAAAACAGAGGGATGAGCAAGAGGTAGATGAGGTAGACGAAGGAGAGTCCATTGTACCGGAATGCACATGCTGTGGGTGGAGAGAGAGAAGAGAAAAAAAATGAGCTAATAAGGTAGGCTAACAGGATATGTGCAACTGTGTGGTGACAGCATCAAGTATCCCTGTATCAAGCTAAGTAGTTATGTCAATTAGGAAGTGAAAATTGAGCATTTATTCTGTGTTCATTACTACACAGAGGAGGATGAAAATGGAGAATTAAAATGCATGGCCCCTGCTCTTAAAATCTAACCAGGAAGGCAACACCAATATATCTGAATGAAGTCAGGTCATAAGTAAGTCATAAATTAAGTAGGCAAATTAAAATTACTACAAAAATATAGGGGGAAATGCAATTAGTGAGGGTTTGAGGTGTCAAATAAGGTTGTCAATGGGAGCAATGACACTGAAGAGAAAGAAAAGAGAAGAACAATATTTGTTAAATGTTCTATGGCAGGGCTTTGTACTCATTTAATCCTCATTTTATAAGTAAGTGTTCTCAAGCTCAAAGAGACTCAATCACTATCCTGATTCTCCCAGCTAGGATGTGATCAAGTCAGAACTGAGTTCAGATCTGCAAGCCTGTGCCTGTTCCTCTGTATCACTCATCTTAAAAGTAGCATAGAACTCCAGTGGAGGCCTTGCCCCTCCAAGTTCCCATTTCCTCATCTGTAAAATGGGTATAATAATTGTCTCTAACTTGCTGGGCTTATGAGGAATAAACGTAATGTGTCTAAAATACTTGACTCAGGGTTTTATCCAGAAAAAGCCCTTAAAAACATGAGCAATTATTATAAGCATCCTCATTACTAGATAGGGAGAAGAAAGTGTGCAGTATTCCATGTAGAAAGAAAATGAGCACATTATAGCAATTTAGAAAATAAATTTTGGGATGAATGAAGACAGACTAAAGATGAGAAGGAGTAAGTATGCATTTGTAGAATGAGGAGATCAGGTTAACGGATGTCACAGGATGGAGAGATGTTGAAACAAAAGTTAGTAGGAGAGAAAATGGAGGGCAGGGAAATATGGAGTTGAGATCTTAGAAAACAGTCACCGATAATGTGGATCAGGAGAAAACATTTCAGAAAGATTAATCATGCAATTGCATATTAGCCAGATTGGTGGGAAGCAAAACTCAAATACTGTGCTGTGGTAACAACATTGGGCTATAAATGAGAACTCAAAGCAGTGTGGTAATGATGGTAATATTTTTTTAAAGCAACCAACAGAATAAAAAGGATTTTTAAAAATAAATATGGAGAGGTGTGAAGAGAAATTATATGAAATGACTCCAAGGCATACAACCCAGGTAATGATAAGGATTACAGCCATGAAGAAGAATAAGACATTTAAGAGGAAAGTGAAAAGTTGGACACATTCATGGAATCAAATCATGGCACTTAGATCTCATGGAAATAGTCATGAAGAATGTGGACAGCATTTCTGCATAAATGGAGAGGAGTCTTGAGCAGAAGTGTTAGTTGAAATGACAAGGAGGGATGGATTCTCCAAAGGCAAGAGCAATAAAGAGAAGCACAAAAGATGGAGGCATCTGCTGTGGCTATTGCTCACAGATGGGGAGAGTGGGGAGAGGAAAACTGGCATGCCTGGAGGTAAAAATCAGCAGAACATTTCAGACAGATATAAGAAAAGTCCATTTTCACAAGAGGAGAAGTTTTCACAAAAGAAGTTTACCACAACAGAGAAACAAGTTAGTCATTTGATCATCAGTAAGGATGAGAGGGCAGGCCTTTGAAGAAAGCTCAGCCCAGAGGAGGGATGGAGCTGACTTATGGAAGAGCAAGAGAAGTACTGTCATAACCAGGAAGTGGGAAACAAGAAGGGAAACCAGGGTATCAAGATCTTGGGTACCCCTGGTCAAAGAGTGTGGAGGGTCTTGGACCATGGGACAGTCCAGTGTGGGATGTGCATCGGGATTAAGAGATGCGGAACCCACATCAGAAGACCAGGTCAATAAGTGCTAATCCTGAGACAGAATCTGGACAAAAGGAGCTTGGCATTTGCAAGCCCAGGGCGCCCTGCTTGCTCTAGAAGCTGGCAGTGGAAGAGGCAAAAGAAGGGGAAGTGAGGATAGTGTGGTAGAGTAGGAAGAAATCAACAAAAAGAGCTTTTTATCCCAAGGTGGTCATGCATATATTTGTAGCTTTGTATAACATTGACATTCCCAACCTCCTTTATGAAAGATCTAAAGCAGGAATAACTGTTCACACTATTGATTGGACTGATGGGAAAATACATAAATGAGATAATATAGAAGAACAAGAACATATGTCTGACTCATACAACTTAACAAAAGGAAGATAAACAACCCAATCAAAAAATGGGCAACGGACCTAAATAGATACTTTTTGAAAGAGGACATACAGAAGGCCAAGAGACACATGAAAACATGATTAAAGTCACTAATCATTTGAGAGATGCAAATCAAAATAACAATGCGGTACCATCTCACACCTGTCAGGATGGTTATCATCAACAAACAAGTGCAGGCGAGGATGCGGAGAAAAAGGAACCCTAGTGCTCTGCTAGTGGGAATGCAGACTGGTGCAGCCACTGTGAAAAACAGTATGGAGTTTCCTCAAAAAACTAAAAATGGAACTCCCATTTGACCCAGCAATCCCACTTTTAGGAATATATTCCAAGAAACTAGAAACACCAATCAGAAAGGATATATGCACCCCTATGTTCATAGCAGCATAATTCACCATAGCTAAGATTTGGAAACAGCCTAGGTGCCCATCAACAGATGAGTGGATTAAAAAACTGTGGTACATCTACACAATGGAATACTACGCTGCAGTACGCTGCAGTAAATAAGGCATTCATACCATTTGCAACAGCATCAATGGAACTGAGAGATTATGCTAAGTGAAATAAGCCAGTCAGAGAAAGATAAATATCACATGATCTCACTCATTTATGGAATATGATGAACAACATAAACGGATGAACAGAAACAGATCCAGAGACAGAGCAGCATCAATCAGACCATCAAACCTCAGAGGGAAGGTAGGGGAGGGTGGGAGTAAGGGGGAGAGATCAACTAAAGGACTTGTGTGCATGCATATAAGCCTAACCAATGGACATAGACACTAGGGGGGTGAGGGCATGAGTGGAAAATTAATCAATAAAGAAAAAAAAGAACATATGTCTGAATTGCCTTTCTAGCTTCCCTCCCCTCCCCTTCTGCTTCTTATTTCTCATCCAGAGTTGAAGTTCCCTAAAAACAATCCAAAGGTATTTGGTTATTCATTCAGTCAATATTTATTGAGCATGTCCCATGTGCCAGGACCATCAAAGATCCCTTCCTGCCTCTGGGAGCTTACATTTGGTGGTGAAATGTATGATGAACAATAAAAGGTCAATTACATGTATGTTGGAAGATAAGGGTTATGTAAACAAGAAGTCAGCAGGAAAAGAGGGACCACCAGTACACTGGGTGAGGCAGGCCATGGCAGCATTCATTAGGAACACTGAAGATAGAGCTCAATGAGAAAGTGCGATTTGAGCCAAGAGGTGAGGTAAGTGAGTGAGCTGACCCAGCCACCTTGTGGGAGAGCGTGTCAGGCAGAGTCAGTGGCTCAAGCCAAGGCCCTAGAGCAGAAGCAGACCTGGCCTGTCTGATCTGCCCAAGACAGGGGAGCCCAGTGCACAGCAGAGTCCTGGATTGGACCCGATCATGCAGGCCTGTCAAGGGGTCAGAGGATGGTGGTTTCACTCTGAGATGTCAATTCAGTGACAGTTCTTACTCTTGGTTCAAGGTTGCAGACCTGCCTCCTGCCTATGCCTGCAGCTTCATTTCCACTCATGCACACTCTATGCACTGTGCTGTTGCGCAACTCAACAGCCAGCTCTTTCCATCTGCTTTGCTGCTTCCTGCCTTTAGACCTTACAGGCACCATTCCCTCCCTCCATCCAGAACATCTTCCTGTCCTTCCTATCAGGCATATTCCCACACAGCTCACTTGTTTCCTCTTATGGGAAGTTGTCCACATCCATGACCTCCCCCAAACGGAAGTGCATTTCCCTCCTTGGTGCCTCTTCCAGAGCACCTCTCATTCAATGTCACAGGCATCTGTGTATGTCTGTGACCATGTCTGTTTTGTCCAGTGCCCTGTGCCCAGGAGATGCTCATGCTCATGGAAGGAAGGAATAAATAAATGAAATGAAATAAAAAAGATGTGAGGGCATCTAAAAAGGAAATTGGGTGTTCAGGTGTACAACATTCTTGGTAGCATAGAAACATCACAACTGACGTTGCCCCAAATAAACATTTAATCAACTGGAATATTTCTTTGTTTTTATACTTAGGGTGTGTTTTTTTAATGATGATTTATATTATGCAGCAAATTACCTAACTGTGCATTCCTGGGTAAAGAGAAGAGTAGAACTTACTTGTATAACTGCATTACTTTGAAGTAGCATTTATAGTGCACTTGTCTGCTGTGGACTTATATCAGTAATGACTTACACCAATGAGCCTGCTGTGTGTCAAGCCCTGATCTGTGCACTACACATATATTAACTCATACCATTACTGTCCTCCCTTTACAGATACTGTTTTATTCTCTTTCTACACATGAAAAAGCTGGCACGAGGAGAAAGCAGCGCTAAGTGCAAGCACAGCTAAGTAACAGGCTGAGGATTGAGTCTGGGAGTCTAGTTCCTGAGTCTGCGCCATCATCAGGAATCTTCTGGGCCTCCTCACTGCTGCACATCCCTACCTGCCTACCTCCTCCCTAGTTAACTGCCAAGGGCTCAAGGAGGCAACGCCTTCCTCACACAGGTTGACAAACACTCTGTATGCATTTTGCTGTTTTATATTTATAACCTTGTTCTGTAAGGTTTTATATTATGCACTAGAGGCCTGGTGCACGAAATTCGTGCACTGGGGGGTGGGGTTCCCTCAGCCCAGCCTGCCCCTCTCACAGTCCGGGAGCCCTCAGTGGATGTCCTACTGACGGCCACAGTCTGGCAGCAGAGGCTCGGAGCGGGCGTCCCGTGTGTGTGTGTGTGTGTGTGTGTGTGTGTGTGTGTGTGTGTCTGCTGGGGGCCTGCCCCCAGTCACATCGTGGAGGCTTGGAGCAGGTGCCCCTCTGTGTTGATCTCTCAGGCGGCTCCTGGCGCCTGTGTGTTGTTCTCTCCCTTGAGCTGTGGCCAGGGTGGGGTGCTGCCTGCAGGCCCCACTTGCCTGCTCACGGATCACCACAGTGACCCTGGAGCAGGCCCTGCTGGGGGCTGCCTGCGGGCAGCGCTTTCCTGCTCATGGATCCCCGCAGCGACCCGCGAGCAGGCCCTGCTGGGGGCTGCCTGCCCCCATGCTTGCCTTCTCCAGGGCCACGTGACCTGCTCGCAGGTTGCCGAGGCAATGCCTGCTGGGCTCACATTGCCAGGGTGACACCGCCAGCGTCCTGCCCCGCCGCTATGGGTGCCACCATCTTCGTCAT